GATGGTTGGTAACTATGATACAACATAACATCCAATCACAATGAGGAATTTGATTTAAAACTGTTGTAATAGCCGCACCAACTTGATATTCTAAATTAAGGTCATAGATTTTACTCATCCCAGGCAATATTTTCCGTCTGTACTGTACGAGCCTTCATGCATACTTAGCATTAACCTGCAAAATTCATTTGTTTGAACTTTCTTGGAACTACTAATCTGTTTTGAACTCTGTTTGCTCAGGTCAGCTCATGCCCCAACCTTAACCAGGGCAGCCTCATCAATATGGTCAGGCAATTGAGGGGGGACTACCAAACTAGAGTAAAAACCTGATTGGTTACTAAGCCTACTGCACCTGCTTCCATGTTTTGGTATTGGTGGGATCAAAGTGATCCAGTTTCTGCTCAATCCATTGGTCTGGGGGTAAAACATGGTACTTATTAGTAACTGGAGGAGGCAGCATTCCTCCCCGAGGCCTCCCAAGCAAGTACTTAGGATAGGCAGCTTCAGAAACCACAATAACGAAGCTTAAAACGATGGATAATACGAGCAAATGTCCAGCTACGTAAACCTCCATGTTCCTTCGCATAGACATCACGTGCTATTGATATCATGTGATCAAGTAAAGTTTCAAGTGGTGGACCAATGACAGAGGCCGTTTGCTTGCCAAGGTTGGAAGTTAGCCGACTACAGTATGTAGAAGCAATTTGTACATTGTGTATTGTGTGTTCATTCATATATTCGTTTATTCATTTACAGTGGGAGATTCAAGGGGAGGGAGTAGGTCCCCCTAAATTTTTCAACATTATTTTTTAAAATGGAGAAAAAAAGAAAATCATATTCAAATTTAAGTCTGAGAGTAAAGCCTACTAATTCAGCTATTAATGATGAGGTGCCATATAATCAAAATTGTCTTATTTCGAATTCCTGGATCCGCTAGTGATTTATCTATTAATTCATTAAATTACAGTATTCATTCATTCATTCATCCAATCATTTTTTCATACGGTTCATATAATCATTCATCCATTTATCATCCATTCCTTAATCCATTCGGGCGCGGATCCAATGGTGGGGCACCCGGCCGCCCCCACCCCAATTTTTGGAAAATCAATAAAAAAAAATAAAAGAAAAGAAAAGAAAGAGGAAAAAGAAAAAAAAAGAAAAAAATTAATCGTCCATAAGGCCTCAGAGGTTATTTTCGGGCGTCTAGAGCACAAAAATTTCGTGGGGCCCCTAGAGTATTGTTATCTCGATCGGCCCCACGTTCGGCCTCCTTTCCCCCACTCCCTCTCCTTTTCGTCTGTGGGTCCGATCCATCCATCCATTCGTTCATCCATTCATTAATCCATTCGTTCATTCACCTATAGGCTCTTCCTACATTCATCCATCTTTTCAATCAGTCATCCATTTGTTCATTCATTTCTATTCGTTCATCCATTCTCATTCGATCGTTCATATTCATGCATTCATTCATTCATACCCGTTCTTTCATATCATTCATTCATACTTCCTTCTTTCATTAATTTGTTCATCTGTTCATTCATCTATATATTTTATCCATTCATATATTCACTTATCCAATTCACTCACACTCGTTCTTTCATTATTATTATTATTATTATTATTATTATTATTATTATTATTATTATTATTATTATTTATTCAGGCAAAAACAACATGACATTACAAGTATGAAATAAAAAAGTAAAAGGAGTTGCCAGGAACATGCCAGTCATTCATTCATTCTTCTTCCTTGCTTGAGCTATTCAACGATACTCCATTCAATCTTTCATGCATTCATGCATTCGTTCACATTCGTACACATCCTTCCCTTTTATTTATTCATTCATTCATTTATTCATTCATGAGTCATTAGCAATAATTATATCACTGTCTTACACGAGCGGAAATTTATTCGACCAATGGAAGCGGACTGTCATTAGCGAAATTCGAGAGGGAAAGTTCGCGAGGGCCCGGTGGCGTTTAGTCGATTTCAGAGTTTCATCATAATGTAATCTGTAGCTTATATGTTTTTTTAATAAGCTTATTTGGCATATAAGACTTGGAGCAGCATACTGTCGGCTAAACTGGTTGTAGTCACTCTGTGAGTGCCCGTGGGGTCACGGAGCTTGTGGGGCCTGGCGGTGACTGTTATTGGTTGAGAGCGGGGGGAACAAAAAGACGCTGGGGGCCAGTGGCGGCGTAGGGCTCCGATTGGGGCCCAGGGGGTGAAGACCCCTGGTGGGCGCCCCTCGCGCTCAGAGCTTATGGCATTTTAACATTTATGAACTGTAATAACTACGTTGTCAGAGCACATAGAATGGTACGTGACTTAAGAAATATTTCAGATAATGTTATGACAACAAAACCAACATAGATTACATAGGCTAACTTTCGGAACTAGTATAGGCCTACAGTGTATATTATAGGCCTATGTAGGTGTAAATAAATACAGAGAATATTTTAGTGAAAAATAAAACATGTTTTAATAACGTATATACAAACTGGTCACGCGCGACATCGATCAAGTGTGGTTTCCATAAACAAAAAACTTCAGCGATCGTTCACATGAGCCCTGCGATATCGAGGTTTCTGTATGATTGAAACGAGGCCCCATTGAATGAAACTATGGTACTATAGTTTATATAACATTTTTTTAAACTGCAATGTCGGAGCGCTCGTGCCCTGGCGCTCAGTGGTGTAACGAGGTGGTCGGGGCCCTGAGGATTTCTGAGTGTGGGGGTATTTTGGGTCCCGGTCGCCAACTCCATTGTGGGATTTTAGATGTTCTCGTTTTTCAATTATGTCTGTCATTGCATTCTAAATGTTTTTAACGACAAAATAAATGATACGATATGAGTGGCGAATCCAGGAATGTTTGATAGGGGGCCCCTGAAGGAGACTTTAACTGATAAGAGGCCAATACCACCTCAGTTCCCTCATGGTTGGGGCTGAGTAAGAAAATCTGTTTACGGCACCTCTAAATGGCCGGAAATGGCACTAAACAGACTTAAAATTTAAAAATTTAGGAGCCCCTTTAATTCGCCAGTGGATATAATATGATATACAGTCGATGTCAGAGACACATTATGCTATTATGTATTAACAAAGCAAAGCCTTTTTGGGTCAGGGTGCTAGATCGATAACCATGTGGTTAGGGGCCCTTTCGGAGCCGGGCGCCCTGCGGACCGCCGCACGAAAGCGCACAGCTATTCAGATGTATTGTGCTGAATTTCCTTATAATCATATTCCTCAGCTTGTATTTACTCATACATTTGCCACCTGGCAGTAATGAATTTCACTATTGTAGCAATCATGTCATGTTGGTGTATAATATTTCTTGTTTTCTTCATGTTTTCTCGTTTGTCTGTACATTTTAATGAACTTTTCATGACGAAATGAATGAAATGAAATGAAAGGTTGCACTGTATTGAAATATATTGTAATACCGGTAATGAATATGAGTTAATTTATATGAATGACAGCAATGATGTGTAATAAGGAAATACAGCAATTAATATTTTGCAAAATAATAATTGCTCACGACTCTTGGCTACACGCCGGGATTTAATTAGACACGAAGAGGGCGTAATACAGAATTTTGAATTGCATATTCGTCTTCAAATTAATTCTGTCAAAATTATTCGTCTGAAGGCGAATGCTTGTCTATATCATGTATGACAGAAACTCCCCAGGGGCAGAGTTGCCGACTCATTCGTTGCATATTTTTGATTTGATTTTATGTTTACTGAGAATCCATTTATTTTAATTTTATGTGATTTACTGTCGAAGACCTAAAAATAGCCCACTGATAAAGTAAAAGTTATCCCAAAATCTAATATTCAACGATTTTATTGAATTTGAATTACTGTCTATTGCTCATATATTTGTTTATAT